GTCTTTTAAAAATATAAAATCACAGAATATCATTTCTATCAAAGAAAACATCCAGGCTCGATCATCATAAATATATATACACATATATATATACATACATATATATTTTTTTCCTCAACATGTATACAAATTTGTGTATTGTTTCAAAGGTCTTATTACATACTGTAGTTTTTGCAAAAGTACTACATTGTGTTTAAAGCTTTGAACAATTCCGAGAATTCTTTTTCTTTACATAGTGCCACTTCAGCATTTTTGTTTCAACCATTTTTTTCGGTAATGATTATCAATAATTCGACCAATGAAAAATTTGTTAAACGTATTTTGAAAAAATATATCATTTAATTGAATGTCGCACAGTTATGTATAAATATCGGAGAAACCAGTGGAAAATAGTGTAACTTTAAAATTTCTATGAAAATTTGTTCAACAAAATATTGCATTGAGCGTGTGTCAAAAGAATGGTATGATCGGTAACAGATATAAACTGATACATCGAACGGAGTACACCTTCCCAATTTCAATGTTTTTCGATGTCATAACTTATTGTCAACACTTCTTCCTTGTGATTTTGAAAAATATGTATATCACTGACGCTTTTTGCGATCTGATAATCGTCACTTAAATCTTTTTTTATGTAACTATTCAAAATTTTTGAGGAAATCTCGAACCACTGCATTGCAACCCTATTAGCGATACCTCCCTACTTTTCGCGATACACACTATAGTCTTTTCGTCGTAACATCACGTTGAATCTAACCTAAAAATATATCCGCAAGTTATGATACACTATCATTAAATTTTAAAAAGTATGATTGATAAAAAATTATTCCACTTCGAAATATTTTAAGTTAATATATCTTTCATTGTCCGCGCTATATCTTAAAATAATATTACTACTTGTCAACTGTTCATTGTTGGAATTTGATCGATATGTGCAAGAACGATATCGCTTGTAGAACCTGTACATATATAATTTTAAGAAAAAGAAAAGAAATAACTCAATATATCGTTATAATAACAAAAAAGATATATGCCTCGATAGAACGAAATGAACGTCAAGTTTATTAATATAAATAACTTATGGTTTCACAAGATAAATCGTAATCATGATTATAGTATTCAATTACACGTTTTCCATAAATTAATGTTTTCTAATATTCAAATAATAATCTTATAATAATCGTAATAATATTTTTAATTTGTGTAATTAATATGTACATAAATCTTTCAAAAGTATATTTTATGTTTGATATAGTTAATTATGATATATACAGAGCT